AGGGGAGGGCAGTTGGGGGCCATCAGGCCAGCAGGGGAGGGCAGTTGGGGGCCAGCAGGGGAGGGCAGGTGGGGGTGATCAGGCTCTGGAAGGGGAGGGCAGTTGGGGGCCATCAGGCCAGCAGGGGAGGGCAGTTGGGGGCCAGCAGGGGAGGGCAGGTGGGGGTGATCAGGCTCTGGAAGGGGAGGGCAGTTGGGGGCCATCAGGCCAGCAGGGGAGGGCAGTTGGGGGCCAGCAGGGGAGGGCAGGTGGGGGTGATCAGGCTCTGGAAGGGGAGGGCAGTTGGGGGCCATCAGGCCAACAGCAGAGCAGTTAGGGGGCGATTAGGCTGACAGGCAGAGCGGTTAGGGGCAGTCAGGCAGGCAGGCAGGCAAGTGGTTAGGAGTCATCAGTCCCAGATTGTGAGAGAAATGTCCCAGATTGGAGAGGGTGCAGGCAGGGCTGAGGGACGTCCCTGCCCCCCTCCCCCCATGCAAGAATTTCATGCACCAGGCCTCTAATTTTTTCATAATATCTTCAATATTTATTTTGCAGTGATTACTTCTACTACCCTAACAGAAAATTAAGGTTATTAATCAGTGTGTCTCTCTGTATATGCAAACTTCATAAAAATCAAACCTACCAATATTAATAGGAGTGTTAGTAATAATAACTATAATTTAATATTTATACTATGTGCCTGATACTATTTAGAGCACTTTAATCATGTTCACTTTTTGACTCTTCCTATTAAATTGAAACTAGAGCACCGGTACACAAAATTCGTGCATGGAGGGGATGTCCCTCAGCCCGCTGCACCCTCTCTAATCCGGAACCCCTCGGGGGACATCCCTCTTGCAACCCTGAACCGCTGGCCCCTAACCTCTCGCCTGCCTGCCAGCCCGATCCTCCTAACTGCTCTCCCCTGCCATCCTGATCACCCCTAACTGCCTCTGCCTTGGCCCTGCCACCATGGCTTTGTCCAGAAGGCCATCCAGTCTAATTAGCATATTACCCTTTTATTAGTATAGATGTGAAGTACCTACTATGTGCTAAGTGATGGACTTTCAAGACCTAGCAAACAGTTCTGGCTGCACAAAGCTTCTTTGCAGATGTTTTTTGGCAGCCCAGAGCTGACACCCAGGGTACTAAGGGGCAGTGGTGGCATCACCGTAGGGTTGGGGAGGAGGGAGGAATCAGCTTGCTTCTCATTATCTCCATCAGCTCCCCAAAGCACCCAACAAATCCAATCCTAAGTAAATCTGTGTGCTTGCTCCCCAAAGCAGTGTCAAGAGAAGTCTCCACCCCCTTCTAACCAGATTGTCTGAAGTCTTCGCTCTATGGATGGAGACTAGCAGGTAGGACTTTTTGCCTAGGAAGGGAAGAGCTTGGCTTTCTGCTTGGATCCCTTCCTACAGATTCTCCTCAAGCATTTTATTCATTTGACAGATGTTAACTTAGCACCTACTGTGGGCCAGGCCCTGTGCCAAGCTCATTGGGTATGAAATGGTGAGGAAGTGAGTTTTCCCGGCTTGAAAATGATGATAGTTGCCATGAAAATGAGGTGGGAGCTAGTGGCTTGGATACTCCGAAAGTCAGCGGCTCAGATCCTTAATTCTGGCAAAAAGAGGGAACCAAAGGGAACTGGGTCTTGGAATTGCCTGAAATGTAAACGTGAGAGCCACTTAAAAAAAACTAAACTTTTACTTCAGAATAGTTTCAGGTTTGCAGAAAAGTTGTGAAGATAGTGCATCTCCCCCTGACCCAGTTTCCTCTATTGTTCACATCTGTCATTACTACAGTACATTTTTCACAATGGAGGAACCGACATTGGTCCTTTATGATGAACTGAACTCCACTTTTCATTCAGATTCATTCATTTTGATCTGTCCCAGGATTCCACCCAGAATACAGCATTACTTTTAGTCATCGTGTCTCCTTAGGCAGCCCTTGGCTGGACAGTTTATGAGACTTTCCTTGTTTTTTTTTTCTTTTTTAAAATATATTTTTATTGATTTCACAGATGAAGGGAGAGGGAAAGAGAGAGAGAGAGAAACATCAATGATGAGAGAGAATCATGGATTGCCTGACTCCTGCATGCCTCACACTGGAAATTGAGCCCACAACCTGAGCATGTGCCCTGACCTGGAATCGAACTGTGACCTTTTGCTTCATAGGTCAACGCTCAACCACTGAGCCACACCGGCCGGGCTTTCCTTGATTTTGATGGTCAGGTGTTTTGTAGACTGTCCTCAGCTGGGGTCTGTCTGATGTTTCTCTCATAGTTCAACTGGGGTTATGGGTTTTGGGAGGAAGACCATGGAGGTAAAGGATCATTCTCATCACATCAGGTCAAGGATGCATGCTGTCAACATGGCTTATCACTACTGACGCTGACCGTGACTTGGGATTCTTCTGTCCAGGTGATGCAAGTGACCCACTTATCTGCGGTTCAACTCTGCCTCCGTGTTGAGCAAGCCACTGTGGTCTAGATGTAATCGTGAGTTCCAGGCAAACCGGGGAAAAACAGAAATGCCACAAGGCCCAAGGAACTGCCTGATGACCGATAGATGGAACCTTACAAAAGAGAAAAAGAAAAAAAAGAGAGAGATGAAAAAAACAACCAGCACCCTAATAAAAGCAACTTCCTGTGGAGGGGAGCTGTCACTCGGCTTAGAAACTGTGCAGAATTTTCTCTTGGAAACCTTCAGGCAGCTGCTCTAGTTTATAAAATCTGCCTATTGGAAGGAAGGAGAAGGGGAAAAACGGTTGTCGTTATTCCAGCAACAGAGATTCTCCCAAACCATGTGCAAAAATAAATCCCTGGAGACCGAGCTGTATCCGGGGAAACCTGGCCTCGGGGCAGGAGCCTGTGGGGTGGGTCCTGGGGATAGCGAGCCTGCGTCCTCCGGCCCCAGACACTTCTCCAGTGGGACCAAGAACCCAGAAAGAGAGCCCCACCTTGCCGGCACTGCCTCCCCTCCCCCACTTTCCCCCTTTTCTGGAATGAAGATTGGTGTCTGGCGTCACCTCTCACATGGGAGGGTTTGTTCTTAACCCGGGGCAGTGCACACCCATGGGCCTGCAGGAAGGCCTTTGACCCAGAAACAGCTGTTTGAGGACAAAAGGTCACTAAAGGGGAAGGGAGGTCAGGAAGGACAGGCTGAAGGGGGGAGCAGGACCCGGGAAATGTGCCATGGGAAACCCCAACGGAGTGGTGATGGAGGCGGGGTCGGTGGGGGGCGACAGTGAGGACAGGAAGTCGCTAGGGAAAGGGGTGTCCTGTAAGGCAGAAAGTGGGTGGCTAAGGTATGAAAGAGTTTGGTTGGGAAGGGTGTTTGGGTAAGAGGAAATCAGCTAAGTAATCAATGAATTAAATAAATCCATATTCATTCAAGGACTTGTCTGTCAGGTGTGGGGTGGGGTGGGCACTGGGGAGACAGGGCTTGCTAAAGCAAGGCCTTTTCGGGCTTTGGGGGACCTCACTGCTTGGTCATTGACCGTTCAGTGACAGTGAAGCTTCCAGAGGTCAGGAAGAGGGGTGCCCAGGAAGCTTAGGAAGCCCTTGGGGAACCCTAATAGGTGTCACCAGCATTCCCAGTGGGTGTCTCCGAACGGATTGGCCAGTGCGTTCCACTCCCAACACCTCATGTGCGTGTCACCCCGCAAGTATTTTGCCTCCCTGGGGCTCCATGTCCCAAAGTGGAAAATACTATTTATGAGGTGCTCGCTCTAGGCTGGTAAGTGTTCTACACTCCGCATTTATTTCATGTAATTTTCACAACAGCCCCATGAGGGGGTTCCTGTCATTATCACCCCCATTTTACAGGTAAGGGACACTGGGGCACAGAGCAGCCAAGTCACCTGCCTAAGGTCGCACAGCTCGAGAGTGGAGCTGGGCTCGGCACCCCGGGTTGCTGACCCCAAGGGCCCCAGGTTTCAACGGCTCCCACGTAGGGACGGGGCGTGGGACTGGACAGCTTTGCACCGCCTCTGGCAGCTCAGCGCGCAGCGTGCAGAGCCTAAAACGCCCATCCTCCCGTGGGGGCGGGGAGGCTGAGGATCCGGTTGGCCGTGAACCCTGGACCGGGCCAGCGGTTGCTATGGGGACGGCTGGGCGGAGGCGGCGGGC